GTCATTTACTGGTTCCCAACCAAGTAGCGCGAGGTCCGCTTGTTGTGATAGGGCGATCGCCACACCGTGTCGACCAGAGGAATCGCGGGAGCCGCTGTGGTACAGGGTGAAGTGTGATTCGACTCCCGGGATCTTTATATCACGGGATCCTGAGTCAGGGAGTCGTACCTCAGACAGACAGCAGACATTCACGTTGTACTGATGAAGGCTGCGTGCGGTCAGACTTTGGGTACCAGGGTCCAGGGACGTTCGTACATTCGAGCATCCAATACCAAGAGTCCGTCCACGCTTAAGTTTTCCAGCTCGCATATTATTCGCCCGCACCACTGGACCAGGGTTGAGGAGCGCCTCGGTTCCCGCGGACGCCGTAGCATGGGTCGTAGTACTGTGATCGGACATGTTTCATGAGGTTTCTTGGGAATTTCGAATACGCGCGGGTCCCCAACAGCCGCTCGGATCGTTTGTTCGAGGTTGTCGCCTCTAGCGCTTTGGCTTAAAAACCTAACCACAAGGCAGCGGTGGCCGTACCAGCCGCTTTTGTTGTATATTTGAATCCTGGTCATTTGCTGTGTGGACCAGGGGGTGTGGAGTGGGGCGCCAAATTGCGGGCCCGACCGTGCGATCCGCCTTCACCCTCCTCCGCCTTCGGTCTTCTTGACTCTGTCTTGGCACCATGTCCTGGTGGGGGAGGGGGGAGAGAGAGCGGTAGATGCAGTGCAAGTCTACTTTTACTATAAACTAGTTCACGCGCAGGTCATTGTGCCTGCTCCACCTTGGTGTGGAGCACACGGTGGACATCGTCAGCAATGACTGTCGAAGTGTCATACAGCAAGCATGAGTATTTAGTAGTCTCAATAAAAACAAAACTTGGATAGGAGTTATTGTGATCTTCGGAACTCTCTACCACGCTAATTTACGTGAAAAGTTGGCTTGGTTTCATCTGAATTAGGCAATTTAGCTTAACTGGCGCACTTTTAATCTGATCCGCGAGAGCCCCGTCCATGAAGGTATTATTTCCGAGAAAGGTCAAATACAAGGAAAATAGGTTAATCAGTTAATCAACGTTTTAATTAAGTAAAACCGAAAGGTACTACGAAGAAAGATTTCCTTCCGACAGGGCCAGCTGATGGAGTTTCAGCTCTGCAGGCCTGACGGAGGAAACTCCCAAGACATCCATTTCAAAGAAGAAGCTAAAATGTTCTGCGAAGTAAAATGAGTTGTTCAACGGAACGTAATTGGAAGATCCTGGTTCAGGGTAATTTCAAAACAAGAGGTATATTCTAATGACTATTTATTTACTTTCTGACCTTTCGGATAGTTAACGTCATTTTTAACGCCTAGGTCCAATCTACACAAAAACATGCGTAACCCGAAATGCTGTTATGGTAAGCCTGCTGTATTCTTCAGCATATAACGACAGTCAGTACTCTGAGGCCTCATAGTGCATAAAGTCGCCACAGTTCTGTCAGTAAAAAAATCATTTGACCTCAATTTTGGACAGGATGGACCGGAAAAACAAAACCTACGGCCTACTAAATTACGAAAAATATTTCCGACAGTGGCCTGCTAGTGAGATCACTTAATTATATTCTTTGCTAGCATCTTGCATTTAGCTCCCCATTCTTCAGTGGCTAGTAGCAAAAATTGTGAACGATATTCCCCTGAGCTCTTCGGCAAGATAGGCAACTTTTTCCAGATGAAAATACTTCCTGTAACTCTTACAAAGCTGCTCCAAAACTTGTAGTGGCTAGTCATCATGACTGGTCTGGCGCCATTGTTCAAGACCTCGCTGCCCCTTGCAGCGAGCCGTGCCAGACGAACTTACCTGAAGTCACACGACCAACAGCCCGGGCATACCTGTGTCCGCTCAGTCGCAGCTGCCCATGCGCCACTTGAACGCGCCACCCCCTGCAACCAGCAAAACAAGCCACTGCGACACCACCCCTCGGCAAATGCAACACCCACTGACTGGACACTACTTGAGCTTGGCCCAGGAGCCTACAAAAGCGGCTACCATCACCGTCTCGGGGACTCTCAGGCATGACTGGACGCAGTCAACACCAGCCCTGGTTTAGCCAGTGGCCACTACCATCTGAGAGGACAACTCCGGGTTTTGTGCACAATAAATCCTCAAACTGGTTCCTTTTTTTCTTTCTCCCCACAACTTGGGATCTGACCCGACGATGGTAGCGCACAGACAGGAACAACCCACTCACACCGCATAACCACAACAAACTTACTTCAACTCCAATTCCCGGCCGTTTCCAACGTCTCCACACTTCCCTACCTGACTGCTGTGGGCGTCGTGCAACCAACACCACAACTGCCATCTATCAACTGTCGACCGATCTGCTGGGTTAATTCTGATGGCGCACTCGTGGTTTTCAAAACAGATCCTGCTAACTACTAAAACTAACACCAGACTTTGTGGATCAGATATGTAAATCAAGACGGAAGCAGACGAAAACCGCCTTTCTCGATTTTGCATCCTTCCATGATTGTGTGCAGGGGGAAATTTCAGGTTGTGAGTGTCAAATGTAAACTTACTACATGCTTTTATGCTGTTAGCCAACGTAAAATTTTTGTCGTAACAGACTATAACGGTATGAAATTCACGTCTCCGGAAAACAGATCCTCGGGGCAAAATCGAACCGACGATTTTCCGAATTCCAACAGCTATGAAATGTATATAGTGTTATATCAATTCCTATCAGAGTAATTGAGATGTCGGCTTACTCCTTAAAATCCTCTCTGAATGGAGACTCACCCAAACACTACCAAACGTCATTTGCAGCGCAAGCGGGGTGCAGCTGTGACGCGTAGTTACTGCCATTTTTCAAAGGACTGAATATGCGCAAGAAGTTTTTCCCTACCCAGGCCTAAATAGCACTAATAACAGTCTACTTAATTTTATAGAGGGCACTTCAAAGGGCGGCCCGAGGGCGGTGCTATTTATGTCAATATATTGAGAGACTTCTTTTATATATCCCAATTACGACACCCTGTGTCATATTCCGGTAGCAAAATGTTTCGCGAGAAAAATTTTGA